GTACATATATAGGTGTATATATATATATAGATGGACTTATGATCTGTTTTGGTTATTCCTTTATGTCGTTAGCATGTACGTACTATGTGGGGCTCTAGGGGAATCATAGTACCAACTATTCACTTCTTTGAGCTGTCGTTTTCATCATCGCATCCCAAAGTTGCTAAGGGTCAAGTCCAAATCATTCTATCAAACCTCAGCTACTTCGTTATGCATGTTTTGCCTTTCCGTTTCTCATGCCAGCAAGTGTACGGGCCATGTGGGTTAGAGCTGTTGAGTCGTACCGTCACTCTGTGGGGGCGGCCTCTGCTGGAACGAAGCCAGACGTGTGTGGAGTTCGGCCAAGCGCTCCTGGTTGGACACCATCTGCGCCAAGCGCGCATCCTTCCGTGCCGCTGCAGAAGTTTCATGCAAACACACCTCCCTCACACTTGAGGAGACGGAGGGACTGGTGTGACTCAGGGCACAAAGCACTCAGGAACCCGGCCTCTCTGTATCGAGTTAGCAAGAAGTCAACAGAATCCTCAATAACTTGTGCATAGACTGCGAGGTCGGCTGCAGCGATCGATCCAAGCTCCATCATTCGTGCCAGCGCGCATTCGATACCCACTCCTACTATATTGGTATAGTAGATCCAATCCAAGAACCGACGAAAAGAACTGAGACACTTCTTCCAAGCTGTCAGCTTGAATATCTCCTCAGAAAGATTCTCCCACCGACTTGCCACCAAAGTCGCTGCGCCTGTTCTGCTAATGGTCTCTGCGTGCTCGATATCGTGCTCCTCGATTTTCCTCCTCCTGGACAGCCTCGTACGCAAGTATTTCGTGACTTGCTCAATGTTCCGGGTCAGTGTCGAGAATGCGCGTGCCCTGCCGAAGTCAAGACCAACACTCACAGGAAGAACTGCCATCATCAATCCCGGCTGGCTGAGCAGCGTGTCTGACATGAGAAGGATATTTGGAAGTCCGAACAGCTTCTTTTCCACCAGAAAGTAGCAGTCGTACATGAGCTCAGTGACGGACTCGGCATAAGCATCCACAGTGTGATCGGAATCGAGGACGACCTCTAAGCGATTGTATGCGTAGTCTCCAGTTGAGAAGAAGGTGTCCACGCGAAGATGCAGATCAACTTTGCACAGAAATATGTAAAGAGACAACGCGTTGGCAGTCTCCATGATCGTACGCTGTATCATGTAAGGAGCTGCCACAGACCACATATACACGCCCACGCGCTGAACAAAAGTCCACGCGTTCAACTTGCCATCAGCGACATCCAATAGAAGGTTTGTTCGAGCTTGTAAGCTTCGCATGTACCATATGCCCACATAACCCAAGGATACTTGAACATACCCCGTCACAACAAGAAGTTCACAAACCTCTTCCTCAAACTGGTGAGTGCCTACAATGCTCTCAACCGACTGGTATGCAGCTGCGAGCTCCCGCAGAGGCAGCAGCCACTTGAGGACATGAGCCAAGTACGGCACCGAAGCGGCCGCACCAACGCAAGCCGAGAGAATCCAATGCCAGCGCAAGGCAAAGCGACCATGCGCAATGAGCCCCGCCGACAAAGCTGCCACTGCCTGTACGGTCTCCAGTGCCATGTCCTTCTGCAGCCCCGTTAGCAACACAAGCACAAGAACAGCTACCCCCATGACGGAAAGCCAGTCCCTTGCCAAGAGAGGTGCCACGCCGTATGAAGCGATCTGTGAGACAAAAAGTCCCGCAAAGTCTGAGATTCCGCGGAAGCTACCTTCAGCTGCGGCCTGGCGCGCAGCTCTCAGGCTGAAGAGGGCGGTGGCGCCCATGGCACCTGAGGCCACCACTTTCAGAGGCCCTGGCTCCTCCCAGGGACAGGGCAGAACCCATCGCGCATAAGCGGCCGGCAGTGCGAAGGCTACTACGTCCGTCTTCAGGGATTGAAAGAGCTTGTCTGCCAAGTCGTCCACTGCAGCATCGAAGTCGGTCCACTGTGACCAGCGTGCCGCAAGAATGGCGAGGATCAAAACAAGCAGCGACCCATACGAGAGCAGCTGTGCTGTGGACACCATGGCGCTCACATCCTACCGTGCTCTGCACCACCCCTCGTTGTAACGCACTACTAGCCAGAGCCTGTGGATTTGAACGAGCAAGCCTATAGTGTCCGCAATGAACTAGACGGGCAAAAGAGTCTGCTGCGCCATGACCAAGCATGCACGCAGAGGTGTCAAAATGCGAACCGCAAAAGTCCCAGCCTGACCCAAGCTTCTTGCGATCATTCTCACGTTCGCGTTCACGGCGCTCCATCTTCAGCTGTCGTTCTTGTTCTCGCCTTTGGGCCACCGCACTCGCAGGGCTTCCCGACCGGGCTCAGACTGAGAGATCGGCTCTGCGGGCGTCTTCACTGCCTCTCCGAATGGGAGTCACAACAGCTGTGGTCTACAAGCGAAGCGAATGCAGCACAGCCTTCGCTTGTAGCTGGTCAAGGCGCAAGTCGTCACGTCGGACTTCCTCTACGTTCAGGCGCACCTGACGCCGGGCGACGCACCGAACACTTTCGACGGGTTGGAGTGCATGCTTGGAGTTGACTTGCTGAGGGCAGGTAGGTTCCCAGCATCTGGCGGCTCCATGCCCTTGGACCGGGCATAACGCCTGCGTCGATGTGCTGCCACAGAAACATGCGTTGCGTGCTGGCATGTAGACGGGCCTGTAGTGTTTGTACAGATCTCTCAGAAGTGTCGCCACCTTAGATGAGCAATCTGAGCCGATGCAAAGCCAAAACTCCAATCAATCCTCTGCTAACTTCGGATCACGCACGAGCAGGCTTGCTTGTAGCACGGTTGGCTGAGTATGGCACCTGATCGACGGCGGACACCTGGTGACATTCTTCTGCTCTAGGAGAACTACGCAAGCTGCTCAGACTTGCCCAACCCTTCTGCAACGCTCTCCTGTGTGCTCTGCTTCGACATCTGCGCTCATGCTGGGCTTTCCGGCGTAATCTGCATACTCCGTGCAGCTCACGTTTAGCTGCAAGGGCATGTTAGCCTCGCATCGAAAGTCTTAACACTAGCATGAAGAGCTTGGCTGCCGCAGCCTCCTTGCCGTCGGAGCCTTCCAAAAAGCCGCTGCCAATGCCCCGCAAACGAACCTCCACAGCTTTCCAGGCATTCAGTGACGGGTCGGGGCAACGTATGCCACGTGCCTTGGCATTGCAATCGTCAGCTATGCGGCGCATATTGTTTCCGGCCTCCCGTCTGAAGAACGCTTGCTTACCGCAGCGTGTTGTGATTTGTGTACCACTCTTCACCTCGCCACCTGTAAAGGCCACATGTTAACTCCTCATCAATCCCAGATCTGTTCGACATTGTCCGACCAGAGCTGCAAGCTAGAGTCAGCTAGAGCAGGCCTTGCCAAGTATTCTCTTGACGAGGCAAAACTCTTCGTCATCTTCCAATCCTGAGTCAAGAACTCGGAGAGACAAATGTAAGTTTGCACGCCAAATATTGGCAAACAACACCAGCACTCTCACCGAAGGCACATCTGTACAGAACGAACATCATTTCAACATACTGAAGCTGCTACCCACTTGGAAGACGCAGATGTACTTCTGGTTCTCTCCTGCGCAAGGCAACTGTGAGCGTAAATTCACGGACGGCAAACCCCACAAACCGAAGTCGGCATCCAGTACGCTTCGCTGAACTTCTTAGTCGATTGTACTCTACGGCGTTCAAGCACCTTCTCCCCGACTGTTCTGCCAACCCCTGCTTTTTTTCAGAGGATGCTGGGCAGTGCTCTGTTGTACCTCCCGCCTTCGATCTCTCCCTGCGGCAGAATCAGCGAGTGCAGCCCTCTCCGGGCAGCCTGACAGACGCATCAGAGATAGCTCCCAGTCTAAGACGCATTCGGGAGTGAGTGCATGCATATGTATGTTTGTCTCTTGTCTTTCTGCACGGCTTAGGGGTCATCGTGCGACCCTCAGGCCATTGGCCCGCTCAACCACCCCGTGTTGTGGAGTGTTCGTCTCTGTCTCTGTCTCTGTCTCTGTCTCTGTCTCTCTCTCTCTATAAATAGACAGGTAGGTAGATAGATACATAGATAGACAGCTAGCTAGCCAGGAAAACAATCTATGTATATGTGTTCTCCGTGTGTGTGTGGAGCGAGAGAGATATAGAGATAGACTGAGATAGTGAGAGAGAGAGAGAGAGACAGAGAGAGTGCCAGAGAGAGACAGAGAGACAGAGAGCGCCAGTCAGTATGGTAGGCAGGCGGGGTAGGTAGGTAAGTAGGTGGGCAGGTGGGCAAGTGGGTAGGTGGGGAAGGAGTGAGGCATGTCGGCAATCCGGCAGGCAGCAGGCACACAGGCACGTAGGCATCGTCATGTAACTGCAGTCTGCAGGTCTGTCTGTGTCTCTGTTTTCCGTCCGTCTCCCTGTACACGCACACATATCGGCGTGTTACTTTCAGAAAATCTTTACAGAATGCCCAAAAGGCATCTGCACAAAATCGAACCGTATGTACGTATGCAGTGTAGCTATGTAGTAAGCCCAGGAGCTGTTCCATGGCAAGTAACCGCTAGACGCGTCGCAGCACAGCACGCCAGTGAAGAATCCCAAGCCGGTGATTACAGGGCAAATCAGGGGAACCTACACAGCGAGTCTGCCAGTGTCACGAAACACTGTCCAAGCAAACAGCGAACAGTCGTAGATACCAGTCCTTACAAAAGACATAGTAATGGGATTGGCCAGAATGCACGCAGCAACCATCCAACAACTAGTGGATGCTCCGCAGGCTGTTGCTGCGCACCTCTTCTCTGCGTTCGCGGCGTTTCCTTGACATCACTTGGAACGCATTGTCTTGCTTTCCACGTGTGCTTCAGCGACCCTGTCGCAAATTTCAGCCGCTCCTCTGCGTATCCTCTTCAAAAGGTCCCAGCATCCATGCCTCACACAATGTTCAGGGTCATCAGAGCATTACAGCGGGGGAAATGACGCAAGGCCGCAGACATGGAGAGAGAGGATGCAACAGCTTCAAGTTCGAACCCATCGCTTGTCAATAAACTTGTGTAGGACAGCTCGCCTTGATAAGATAGGCTTCCGAAGTCACTGACCTCGTGGGGATACTGCCATGCTCAGCTCCGCAAACACAATCCCCAGACCTAGACTGGATGACTGGGTGTCTGGCTCCTCTGCAGAATGTGGACCGCAATAGAGGAACTCGTCATCTGAGTCCTCAGCGACTATCAAACCTAATAACCTGACAATACCTCCACGTGCCGGGAACATCGGTCCTCGAGTATCTCACTAGCTGCGACAAGACGTGGAAACGTCAGCACCTGCAGGAAGACGGGCAGCACTGCTAGGTCATGCCCTTTGCACTTTCTCATGCAAAGTAGATTCCACAGAACCCGGCCACGGACCTTTAGTGTCTTTGGTGCAGCACCTCGCACAGACAAAGGCTGGACTGTGGACTCTGACTCTGACCTGGAGCTTCTCGCGTCAAGTAAGCTTCTCACTCACTGGCTGCGGCTTTGGCCTCGGAATGATCTGATGCCATTAGGCCTGTTCGCATGCTACCCGAGTCACCCCTCACTCAGCCACTGGCTGCGAGGGCTTAGCAGGAGGTTCCGACGGTGGTTCTGCCAAAGTTTCGGGATGTCTCATTGGAGCAGGACTTCCCGCATGCTGACTCGACACAGGTCCTCCCAGGCCAGACTGAATCGTGGCACTGGCTGCCTGCAAGAAGCACATGATACAGACATGCTAGACAGCGCGAGCAGCAAATGAGCTTCTGACTGCCGACTCATCTAGCGACGCAGTGGCAGTGAGACTCGGCAAACGCACGTCTCATGCCACATGCTGGCCGGGGGTAGGCCATGGGGAAGCAGGTGAAATAATCTATGTGCAGAATGATTTTTTGCGTCATCTTGGCAGATGTTGGCTTGGAAGCCGGCTCCGCATCGCCGACGTCTGTGGTCTGTACCGAGTCAACGCCGGCCTCAATCCACAGGAGTTGAAGAACGCCAAGAACATGCGTGCGCTTCACACATCGCTTTCCGCAGATTATTCTCGGGCCACTTCTTTCACTGAGCCGACGTGTGCTCCGTCCTCTTCAAGGACCTAGCACGATATGCAGATCTCACCAAACCTGCACAACTACTTCAAGTCGCATGATGATTAGTAATTAGTATCAACTTGCGCCCACCCAGAAACCAACACGGGAGTGGCATGTGGCATGAGTCCAGCCTTCGGAGGGCTGGTCATGCCGGCTGTACAGAAGCAAAACGATCAAATCGCCTGCCGGGTGGAGTTCCGTCTCAATCACTGCGGGACATGACCGAAAAGCATGCATCAAACTGCAGTACCAGTTTGGATGAAGGCGACACGGGGATACAAATACAGATGCAGATAGTGCCTTGATACAGGGGTTTGCACGATCATGCGTGATCAGGCTCAGCACAAACCTGGTCCGAGATGCCTGCACTAGCCTCAAGTATATAATTGCTCAATTGTATGTAACTTGAAACGTCACTGTAGCAGTGGGTTGCAGCCGCCACCAGCATCAAGAACGACAACCAGGACAACAGCAGCAACAATCAACGTGATGGAATCAATGACAGGAAGTGTAACCACGACAGCAAAACGAACACCGGGCAAGACACGAACGTCGGGCGAGAGCAACCTTTCAACCAAATGACCACATAAGCAAAAGTGAGCTTTACGACACTTTTTTGCAGTATAGGCCCGAGACCAGCTAACCACACCGTCCCGCGGCTCTCTTGTTCTGCAGTCCATGGATTTGTGGTCAGAGAAATCCATGTTTCCTGCAACTTCGGAGGCAGAAGGAGGGTCGGGGTTGGTTCTTCCGAGCATCTGTATGGATGCGTCATTGCAAGAGGTACCAAACACAAGCAGACACTCTGCTCACCCCAACTTATGATGCTCCCAGTGACCGCCCCTTGGAGAGGTGTTGCTTGCAGCCAGGATCTCGCGCCTGCAGCTGCAGGGTCAGCGACCCTGGATGGTGCACTCCGCCTCTCAAGGCCACACTCACGGAAGGAATCTGACGGCATTCTGACGCGCAAGGCAAAGCTAGAGGCCTAGGTCAACTTCAGAGAAGACTGCAGAATGCGGCCTCGGCGTCACTTCCGATGGACACTGACAAACCCACCATGTCTGCACCAACACCAAAAAACAAATGCAGTGTAGACCAGACATGCCGAGTGAGGCCCGTGCTAAATCCAGAGTGGCTGCCAACGAATTTGCTGCAGGTGGCTTGGTGGAGTCACTTAAAACAAATGTTTGGCAGTGCGGGCTTGTCGTAGCTAGGCGTGCCGGGATAAGGCGGTGACCCAAATCTCTGTAGATTTTGGGTTGATCTTAGAAGAACTGCTGGTGCCAAATGCAAGATGGGTGACACCATGCCTGTGTTATCTGAAAGGGTGGCTGCCGGAAGTGTCGTTGCATAGCTGTGCCCTAGATTTGCACGGATGCCTGTCGAGCCAGTTGCAACAACACCCAAACAAGCCGATGCAGCCACTCACACACCCCGCTAAGGGATCTCAAGCATCTGCTGAATAACTGTCGTGCAGCAACTACGCTTTCGGAGACAGCCACATTGACAAGCTGAAGTGATGGAACAAGACTGGGGACTGGGGCCTGGGTGCTCCGTAGCGATCCAGCTGAAGAAGTAGACGTTAGAAGACCTTCTTTGCATGTCTCGCCCATTCTCACACTTGTTCAACATGCGGGCACATGGTCAGTGCACGTCAAAACACTTGCAACATAGCCTGAGATAACTCCGGCTATGGGGAGTGTGTCAAAGACTCGTTACGGACAATGCATGGTCAACAAGTTCTGTCTACTGCACCTGTTTGGAAGCGCAAGCGATTTGAGAAATGCAAAGCCCAAACTTGGGATGGCGAACACGTGCTATGCACCGCAAGCGCGTATTTAGATTGAACATTTGCTCGCTGAAACTACGCGCTTGCAGGTATATTTGCCGCCAGCCCAGCTGTAGGCCAAAGTGAAAGGGCTACCTCGATTGTGGACTGCAGTCCTGCAAGATGCACCAGTGAACTCTGTGATCCATGATTGGTGCTGCTTGCCATCCGTGCTGGGCTAGCAGACTAGTCCTCCGGAAGCCCGATGTGGCCGCTTTCAAGCAAAACTGAACGGTGGAGAGGGGGACTGAATTCAGCCTGTGAGACGCTTGCCAAAGCATGTGAAAGCTAAGCAAAGCAATTCCGGTCCGCAGAAACGGCTCTGAAATTCAACTCTGCACAGTCTGTGGCTCAGAGCTGGAACATGAATCTTGCTGTAGCTGAACGGGCCGCAAGGAAGCCCAGTTCAAGCGCAGAAGCGGCCAAAGAAAGATCGCTGAATCCCTTTAGTCGGTCGCGACTCCTGAGCACTCCAGCCAGCTTGGGAAGAACCATGTCTGGCAGTGCATCCACGGATATGTACAGTATGTAAAGTAATGTGATGCAATGTAGTGTACAGAATGTAAGGTATCGTACTGTCATATCATGTCATGTCTTCTCATGCCATGTCACGCAATGCATTGCAAAGCAATTTGATGTCATGTAATGTAGGTGCTATGTCGGCAGGTACATAGGTGGCAGCCAGCCGGGGAGGTAGGCAGGCAGCCAGCCAGGCAGGGAGGTAAGTAGGTAGGTAGGTTTGTACAACTGTGCGACATGGACATGAACTTCAACATGATAGGAAACTCGCTCAGACAGACGGGCCGAGCGGTAGACAGATGAGCAGGTTCCACAAGGTAAGCAAGAACACGTTTCCACATGTGCAACACACATAGGCGAATGTTGCAATACCTGCACACCCAACTAGTGTATATATGTGCCTACACACATACACCCACCCACATCATAATTACATACATACACATACATACATACATACATACATCCATGCATGCATGCATGCATGCATGCATACATGCATACATATACTACATTACACTACAATACGTTACATTATGTTACATTATGTTGCAGTACATTGCATTGTATTTCGTTGCATCATGTTACATTACATTACATTCCACGGCATTACATCACATTACATACACTACATACATTACATACGTTACATACATTACATTACATTACACTACACTACAGTACATTACATTAATACATACATACACACATACATACATACACACATACATACATACATACATACATACATGCATACATACATACATACAGGCAAACATACGTACATACATGCATGCATACATACGTGCATACATGCATATGTACATACATGCATGTATGCTGGTATGTATGCTTGTATGTATGCACCCATACAGACATACATATACGTCATACATGCATCATACATGCAGACATGCAGACAGACCTGCGTGCCTATCAGCATATGGCAGACTTACATCGCATACATACATAATACATGCATGCATGCGGACATACACACAGACACATACACGCACACACCCATACGTGCAGGCAGGCATGCAGATTTACATACATACGCTTCAACTACAAAGTAAAATAAGTTTCGGAGCGAGAGGGTGCGAGAAACGACCTGCATACCGCCACTTCGAACCATCCCATGCCAGATGATATCAGACCATGTCATATCATCATGCCATATCGTCATACGCCATACCTTGCCGAATCCTACCAGCCACGCGGCCTCGAACGACCATGTACGAAGGTCACGCACACATGTGGTGGACATACTTGCTTACCATGAACAACATGCAAAAGCAAGTCCGCCCTGGTCCTTGCAGTGCAGGCGATGGCGCCATTGGCCAGGGACCATCCAAGTCATCGAGCTCCTTCTGCGACGGGTCCGCTGAGAACCACGTCCCTGGCGGAGCCCTCGGTGCAGCCGACCACCAGCGTCTGATTCCAGCGGCCGAGTCTGCTGGGTCCAAGTTCGTTGGCAACTGTTCTCGTGGATCTGTCGTGTTGCAGTCGGCCGCACTTGGTTCTGCTTCCGGGGAGGCACAGGCGCTGACAGTTGACAAGTACGAGCCGGTGCCAGGAGATGCAGTGAGTGCAACTGTGGCAGTTGTGGTCGATACCGGTGATGGTGGTTCGGGCACAGCTGGTTTCTTCGTGGCTTCTGCAAAGCTGTGCGCCACAACGAGGGGCTTTTCCGGGCCTTTGGACCGGCGATGGCCCCTGCTGTGCTCCTTGCTCTCCTTCTCCTGGGGCTCCTTGCCTTTGCCGCCTTTGCCCTTGCCCTTTCTTGCTTCTTCTCTCTGGGCTGTGCCTGCAAACACAGCATTGCGAAACAGCCGAAGCCTTGTGAGTCATGAAGCATACATCCTGAGGGCACAAACAGAGAAGTGCGCCGTAAACCCTTCGCGAGACTGCGGAAAGACAGAAAGCGGAGTACTGACGGGTGCCCCACGGTCCGGTTGGACCAATGAGCTACGTAGCACTGCATGTCAATTCGACCCGAGTGAGCGCAACTGTCAGAGAAGATGTCACTGCCGCAGCATTGCAAGTACTAGTAGCTAAGAGCCATACTAGTACCAACCCTAACAGGCAAAGTTTCCACTAGGTGCTAAGAACGATGCACCCCGGACCACAACCAAGGGCCTTCAGGTCGGGAGGTCTCGAACGTGCCAATGGGAGCTCTGCCAGGTACCACGGTCAAAGCAGCCTCTGGTGGCGGACTGGGGCAAAGCCTTCCCATGCAAGACAGGGGCTCTGAAGAACAGCATCGAAACACAAAAACCAAGTAAAGGTAACTATAGTAATGATAGCAAGCAGTTAAGGGCAATTAAGGGTGGTACCACGGAAAATCGCCGGTATGGCTGAGCCTCTGGCGTCAGTGGGCAGTCGAGTCAGCATGCCAGCCCCACGCGGCGCCTCGGAGGTAAATCCGGAAATCCTAAGCCCCAGACTGCACTCCCCCCCCCCGACCTCAAGACAAAAACACACGATTGAAGCTCCAAACACACTAAACCCTAAGAAACCCAAAATGTGGGGGTCCAAAGGGCATGTCGACCAGGCTTCCGAGCAGCCCTTTCCCAGTCTTCCTGAGACAAGCATTCGCAAGACAGAGTCCCAAATTCCAAGACCCGAAAGGAAGATAAAGGAAGGGTGGGGTGAAATCTGGTCTTAAAGCGTGTATGGGATAAGTGCCTCATCCAGAAGTCGAGGGTTTGCGCTGCATGTGCTGACTGTCCCAAATGCACCTCGCCAACTACTCTGGAACCTGACCTTAACCAATTCATGTCGGAGTCTCCTGGATTCGAT